TCTTTCCCCTTCAGTGAAAAATAAGGATGTCAAGTGTTCTAAGGACCTCAGTAAGAAATGCTGGAAAAACTGGAGTATTTAATGGTATGATGTAAGCAAAAGGGCTCAGCCTGCTGGCAAACGCTGCTCTGCAGCGAGGATGTCCAGAGGGAGCGCACGGTGTTGCACTTGTGCGCTGAGCCCTTGGATTTGATGACGGATGAAGCGGACAAACCTCCCTGCGTTCCATCTTAGCTATACTGGGTTGCTGCTCTGTGCCCATGACAGCTAACCTTCGGCAGAAGGCAGACCACGCTGTGCTTTTCCAGTTAAAGATGAGCCTCAGAAGCGTATGTCTGTTCCTAACCCTGCGCTGCGTCGTACGCCCCGCGTCTGCCGAGCTCTTCGTGCACCGAGCTTGCTGTACGTTCCTGGTGTGGTAATGTATGTCCTTACAGACCATGCAGCACCGTTACACAGAGACTGAAACCAAGGGCTGAGTGACTTGGATGCTGTGGGTTCTGCCTGCGGGCCGTGCGTGGGGCGCTGCTGGCTGACGCAGCTGGGAGCTCCTGCTGATGCCGACCTGCCGGGCGGGAAGGTCTCGGCGAGGGGATGCGGTACGTGATAGCGTACCACGGCGGATGTCTGCTTCCCTTGATCTAGGTTTTGAGCTTCCAGGCTTCAAAAGCTCTTTGTCTTTCGTACTCGGAAGACAAATCCGGGCTTTTGTGTTTTGCAGTAGCTGTGCATGGAAAATCAACCTGCAAATTGCCGTTAACGTGGATTTGGTTACGGCAACATCTGCAGACTCCTCTGCCACGTGATGCAGCTTGAAGGAACTGTTCCAACAGCAGGTGCCAACTCAGGACAGGTTCTGGTCCACCCTCTTCCCACTAGTCCTTTCTCCAATCCTCTTTTCCTGCCGCTTCTTACCGTTCTGCTGAAGGCTGTTTTTTGCGGTGTTCCTCACTTCTCTTGGGCCCAGCATATTGAAGCGCCCAGTCAATGCAGCCTTATGTGTGCCTGATGTAAAGTGGCTTATGCTGAGAAGGGTGATGTGAAAGACTAGTTTTGGTTAAGAAATGAGATGCTCCAGAACAGTGTTACAGGAGATGTATTTGTTAAGATTTTTGCATCTCGGGCTCTCTAGTACCTTGAGCCTGGACAGCTGTGGTTTGACTTACAAATGATTTGAAAACGTGCGTAACAGATGTTGTTAGATTCCCCCCCCCCTTGCTCCGTGAAGCCCACACTTCTGCTGTGTCTGTTAATATAATTGCGTGGTGCCATTTGGCAGGTGCTGCAGCCTCAACCTGAAAGGCGCGTCAGAGGTTAGGTGCCTGCGTGCGGCCGGGTGGGATCCCGGCCCCGGCTGTCGTGCAGAGCCGAAGCTGGACTGCATGCTGCACAGCGGGGGAAAGCTGCATTCTCTAAGCTATAATCTAATGCTCCGGCCTTTCACAAAATGAGATATTCCAGTAACTCGGATCGATTGTGCACGTCTCAAAGTCCAGGTATTTATGCTGCATAGCTGCCATGTGGCTCTGGGGCTGGATTTACGGAGTTAAGCAGGGACCGACGACTAAGCTGGCTTACCTAGTAAAGAATGCTAGTTCTGATGCTGTAGTAGACCCATGAGAGGCAAAAATGCTTCTGGAAAGTGTTTAGAAATCGCTTTTCTATTTCAGAATTGCAAGTAGAATTTCAGCAAGGCCTTGTATATGGTCTTTTAAAAAAAAAAATTCCATGGATAAAACCAACTTTGATAAACTTGTGTCACTGTTGTCTTTTATGTTGTTTTTAATTAAAATGCATTAAAATATTCATGGCTGTCTACATTAACTCCTTCTGTGCTGAGTGGTAATGGAGAGGACAGCGGAGGAAGCCCAGATACCCGGCTCTGTACTGACCCTGCTTTCCCTTTTGCAGCACTCCAGCTTCCCATCCCACATAACCCCCTCTCCACCAGTAAACGGATTTGCATGTTCCCTCTTTAAACCAAACCGACAGACCACATGCAAAGCACAGACACGTTTCCACAAGCAGCCGGAGTAGCGAAGGATTTATTAACGTAAAATAAATTAAGATCTTGTGTAGTTCAAGGCATGTGACTTTCATCATTAAGGTATACAGAGCAATTGATGCTTTTTACATTAAAAAATGTGCATGTGGACCAGCCCCTGTAGCTCTTGTTAGGTAAGTTAATTTGCTTTATGCTGTACTACTTGTACTTTCTGTATATAGAGCTACACTCCATAATAGACGCTTCCAAGAGAATTTCAGTACCTGTGCTTCCAAAATAAGGCTTTCTGGGAAGTAATAAGGGAAGCAAACAAGTAAAGAGCACTTTGAATAGTCATGGCAGTGTACTCAATCTACCAGACTTCTAGATTATTGTCCATTGTGGTGATTATCTTAATGCTCTAGTGAAGTCCACAAAGTATATTGCTGTCTGTTATTAAAAGTTCAATGTTAAAGCGGAATAAACCAGCATTTTCCCCTGATACTCAGACTCGAGTCGTGCTTCGATTTAGCTGAGCCTGCAGTCTCGGTCAGCTTTTACAAACTGAGGTGGATGCTTCAAAGTGCCTGGGATGGTGCTTTTCTGTGGGGGTGAGACTGCGTAGCTTAGCTGATGCGTTGGCAAGAAGTCCAGTGTGTTGCGGCAGTTTTCTCAGAGAGTCCCAAGTGTCACCTTCACAACTGCCAACGAGTCCCTTAACAGATCCCATCGCATCTGCTGTAACCTGTGAGCGCCTGGAAAGCAGCTCCGTGCTCAGGCTTTGGCCAACAGGGTCCTGATCTCAGCCTCCTCGAAGCTGGATTGAAGACTGATGGGTTTGTCTATTTCAAAGACTGAAAAACTCCAAAATCTGGGGCAAATCGTCTGCTGTGGAAGGGTTTGTCACGACGGAATGGCAGAACCCCTCTCTGAACACAGCTGAAAGAGGAAGGACTCACAGTACAGAACCTAAAGCACGTTTAAA